GAGTTTCCTCTACCAAATAAATTTGCAACTTTTGAATCTCAAAAGTTTTTTTTCTAGAAAATACCTGAGATTAATCATAACATTTCTGAGTTTTTGGAGGATATTTACTCATGTCTTTTTTCTGTCTAAAATTATATTAATGATCTACAAACTGCGTATTAGGGCTATTGTAGATAGAAAAAAGGTAGATTTCCACCATAGAAATGTCAGAAATTTTCTAGAAAAACAAGATATTTCTGAGTCTGAAAAGTCAAAAATGAACTAGGAAAAAAATCTGAACTTTTCCAGTTTTTAGGCAGGAATTTGCTCCTCTTTATTTATTTTTTTTTAAATCAATTTACAATGGCTTTATTATGAAGTCATGAAACCTCTATGAAATAAAGTTTAATTTAAAATTTTCACCAGAAATCGGGCCACTTTAAGTCATCTCTCGGTAGTAATGTAACGTCAACTCAGACACAAAGTACACTGGGTCTAAATACCAAAACCAGTCAGTATGTTAGAGCCGTTTCCCGGCTACATGTGTCTCCTGTCGGCAGACCTCCAGACCAAACACACGCTGACATAATTACTCCTGGAGGAGAAACATGGCTAACAGAGGTAGGAGTGTGTGCTGGTGTATCTGTGGCAGACTTTAAAACAAACACGCTAACACGAGCCACATTGTACGCACCAAACATGGTTAGCATCAGAGCTAACAGAGCTAACCGTGTAGCCCCCCCAGTGACGATAAGCAACTGAGCCGCTCTGACCGCATCCTTTGGCTCACATTGATAATCCGAGTAACGGGCGTCACAAGGCTTACTCTGTGTGTGTGTGTGTGTGTGTGTGTGTGTGTGTGTGTGTGGTTGGCTGTGTGGTAATGTTTGAGCGAAGAAGGGTTAACGAACACAGCTGCCGTCAGTTGGAGTGTACAGCCGGAAGTGTGGATGTGGTTTACAGTTGACTGTATCTGTGTTTGTGTGTTCCTGTATGGGAACATGTGATGAAAACTTAGAGAACTTCACACATTTAGGATTTTTTTGTTTTGTTTTGAAGGTGGTATTTAATGCCTGCAGCTACTTAGGGTTTTATTGGTTTGAATATATTTGGAGACAAAAGTTCTTGATTTGATGATGATCAATAAGTGAAATAGGAAAAAAATATGGGAATATTTGAGATTTGTAATGGAGAATAGTCTATTCTTTTTGGTGATATATTCCCAAAAAGCAGGAAGGATTTGGAAAAAGATACTGAATTGTTTAGGTTTAAATTAAAATATATAAAAAAGTCTGGCCAAAATCTTTGTTGCATTCTGGGTAAATACAACCAGCACAAATGTGTGAGTCTGTCGCTCCCGGGAGAGATAACTCGTTTTATTTTACCAAAATCAAAAAAAAAATTCTACAACTGCTAAAATCTGAAACCACTCCATTTTCATTTACATTTTAAGAAGGGAGTTGCAATTAGCGTCTTCTTCAGATATTTTTGTGTTGTTTTCTTTCGTTTTTTGTAGTGCAGCGCCACCACAGGCGAGGAGAGGAACAGGTTTGCCAATTAGTCTGGTTTGTTTGACAGAGTGCAGTGTGAAAGCGAAACACAGCAGCTGCAAACGTAGCAAATCTTGTAATTTTGGTCCCCAACCGAATCAAGTCTACCAGACTATCAGGTGTGAAAACACCCTTAATGTAAATGCTTCTAAAACTCAGCTCTAACTTTTTTCCAAAGCATTTTGTTTGGAAGTTTCCGGGACCAAAATTGCTACAGTTATTACATTTTCAACTGCTGCCGTTCACTTTCACTCTGCACTGTCAAACAAACCAAACCCTTTGAAAAACCTGTTCCCCTTCTCACCTGTGGGGGCGCTGCACCAAGAACCACTGAAGGGAACATCATGAAAACGTCTGAAGAAGACTCTGAGGCCTACTTTCATCTTCATAAAATGTAAACAAAAATGAAGTGGCGCCAGTTTTCAGCAATTGTAGGATTTCTCTGTCTTTGGCTAGAGCCCACAGGCCATTTCTACTGCTAGCGCTAGGCTAGCAAGTTTGCTTTGGTTGTATTTACCCAAAATTCAGTTGCGCATTCACACCTCACTAAACAAACCAGACTTTGTAGACAAACGAACTACAGTTGGATTAAAGCGGACTAAACAGGTCTGGTGTAAATGTACTCTATCTCCTTTGATTCTTCAGGTGTGGCTCTGAGTTTTAGCACTTTTAGAAAACACCAGCCAACATGGCAGAACACAGTGACAGCAGCGTTACATCATTTGTGACACAGTATCACACGTTAGTAGCTAAAAGGCTAACTGCAAAATTATATTTTTATTATGTGTAGAGGTGGGTACTGCACTCCAGAATTGTAGCACTACTTAGACATATTTTTACTCAAGTAAAAAGTAGCCATCCAAGAAATTACTCAAGAGTAAAAAAAGTATTTGGTAAAAAGTCTACTGAAGTAACTGATCAAATTATTAATTGTTTAATATTTAAAAATGACAGACAGACCAAAATATAGAAATTATGGTATTTTAAGGACAAAAATGACAATAATTCCCATAACAAACAAAAAAAAAAATAACAAAATCAAGTAAATCTGTTTCCTTTAATAAAAAAACTTAGGAAACTTTAACAAAAACTGCAGGTGTTTCTGTCTGGTGAATCTGGTTAAAACATGTTTGTTTTTCATTCAGTGGGTAGAAAATCCAGAAATTTAACTCAAGTAAGAGTAAAAATACAGCATAATAAAAATGGCTGCATGGGCGTTTCATTTCTTTTAAATACACAAAATGACTCTGGAGTTTTGACACAAATTCTTTCCTCCACCTCCAGAACAGAAACATTTTCAGTGTTGTGATGGTGTCAACTTTCTTTCAGGCTTATTCAGAGAACATCGTTATTTTTTTCCCCAAAAGAAAACATGACGACAGCTGATTCTTTCTCCGTTCTGCCGGATTAGAAACATGGAGGGGGAAAAAAACTCTGTGAGTCACAACAAGCAGGTGCAGAAGTGTACGATCCAGCTTGGTGCTGTTGTCTGTGGGTGTGTTCAGCGTGTTCAGAGCGTGCTCTCATTGTGTATCCATTCTCTCCTGCTGTAGCTGTAGAGTGGGTCTTTTTATGCGAGTGTCATGTTCCTTCCTGTCTGTGAAGTGAGCGCGTGAAAGGGGGGCAGATATGGAAACCGACAGAAAAGAACTGCCTCTTATGTAAAAACACACACACACACACACACACACACACACACACACAGTTCCCAAATACCTCTGGCTGGTATGGACAGCTGGTCGGTTGGCGGGAAAACGCTAAGGACCAGCTGTCAGTGAGAGGAGAGGCAGAAGGGTGCGAAAATGGGGAGCTCACACTCATCAAGAGTGAGAAAGACGCAATAAGAGGGATAAAAATCCACTGACATAAACATACAAAGAGGCAGGGAACAAGGAAGAAGCATAAAAATAAAATATAGAGGTGTAAAAAAGGAAAACAACATCCATTTCAGGATATTTTTTAAATGGAAGCAAGAAATCCTAACAGAAACAGTAGTAACCGTCGTGGGCCAGTAGGTAGCGATAATGTTGACATTAACATTCTGAACATAATTAGTAGTGATTTTTTTTTTAAGCAAAACCAAAGGTTCACTGCAATAAGACAAACTATTACCAAGTATTTTCAGTTTCCAGTCTTAGTACACATGAAATAAGACAAAGTAACTTTTCAGTAAGATATAGGAACTTGTTTTAAGTCACTGATTGCTTAATATTGATGAAAAAGTTCTAGTTTGACTGGTAGAATGTTTCACATATTTCACAATCAACTGTGCCGTTACCTAGCAACCCCCGCCAAGCCACGTCCGTCGCCTAGCAACCCAGTGCTAGTTCCACTGGCAAATTATTTCAGTGGAACTAGAACTTTTTCATCAATATTAAGGAATGATTTACTTAACACAAGCGCCTATATCTTACTAACAAGTTACTTTTAAGTTAGTTTTGTCTTATTTTAAGTGAACTAAGATATGTGCACTAAAAACTAGACAAAAGTACTTGGAAAGATTTTGTGTTTTTGAAGTGTTCGATATTATGTCTTAACTTTAAAGCTCATGGTTGAAGATTAATGGTTAATAGGTAAGAACAACAGAAAATCAGTACTGTCTGTTGTTCCCAAGGCCCGTTTTGCACAAAAAAAGGTAAAAATGTTTGTTTAATTTGTAATGTTTTTATAAAACTATCACTTAAAATTCTACATATTAAGCACTGTGTGTTATTTTCATTTGGCTTCCTTTTTGACTCTTTCAAATGTTTAAAATAATCAAAAAAGACAACAAATGTGGTTAAGTATAATTACCAAGTATTTTGAATAAATAATACGCAATACAACCTAAGGCTGGATTATCACACAAACTGTAACTCAAAAGACCAATTATAAGTGAACTAAATGAAGTTTGTCTCATCTTTGTCTTTCTGTTTCCAGACTATTTACGCTTCAGATTCTGAATCTGTACATTAAAACAGACATTCACTGACAGTTCACATTAAAGGTCAGTAAATGGAATAAACTCTTGAAAGCTGAAAATAAAATAATGATCCAATCAGTTTAACCAATTCCCTTCTTTGAAGTTTTATAGCTGCTATGTCTTCAGAGCTTAATTGGTCAAAACATGATCCTGGAAACAGAAGCACCATCTGGGCTTTCCCCATCTAAACTTCAAACTGCATGTATGTCATAAAAATATAATAAATAAACTCAGTCCATAATATTTTAATGACGACTGCAAAACACACAAAATCTAACCAAGACATTTTGGTCTAGTTTCTAGTGCACATATCTTAGTACATTTGAAATAAGACAAAACTAACATACAAATAACTTTTAAGCAATATTTAGGAGCTTGTTTTAAGATAACAAATTCTTAATGTTGATTAAGAACATTGGCAGATAGGAAATGGTTTTCTCTTGTTCTGTAAAGAAATGTGAGAGCCTGCCTGCCCTAAATATATCCAAATGCAGACACGCGCGCACGCGCGCGCACACACACACACACACACAAATGCACACAGGTTTTCCAAACAGATTCACATGCAGGAGCCAGGGATCGTGGTAAAATGAGGGTGAATAGTGAAAAGCAGCTATTTATCCGAGCTCGCTCCGGTCTCCTGGGACGCTCACTGATGGGGAACAATGACCAGTTTAACTCCATCCACTGACCTGCGCACAAACACAAACACACTCTCACACTCCTCGCTCTGTTCGAGACGTCCAGCTGTTCAAGATCACACACACACATTTATTAAGCAAACAAGATTCACTCCTTCAAGTAAGAACAAACTTTTATATTTTTGTTTTTTGCATCACCAAGGAAGAATATGGAATGACAATGTGTTAAACAACTAACCATCAAGGCCTTGTAAAACATATCTTAAAAAGTAAATAACATTGTTAGGGTATTAACAGATCTTTGTTTCAGGTGGACAGAAGAAGAAGAAAGTAGATGTCACAATGGACGCTGCCGTCCATGGATCAATTTTAAAGTTATTCAGCAATTGGAGCCGACAATATCGTTACAAAATCATAACAGGAATTAAAATGCTCCATTGGTAAAAGGGGAAACATCCAACTAAACTATTGATACATGAGAAGACTCAAAGCAATCTGCCTTAAAAATGAATATGCACAAAAAAAGCAATGAAAGATGAGCTAAATATTTAGTTTGAGGATAAATGTTTAGCTTACTTACATTTTTAGCTTGCTAATTAGTTTGTTTGAAAGTGTAACATTGATAAATGGATGAATAACATATTACAAATATGACTTGAAAAATGAACCCCCATTTCTTTTTGTCAACAAATTATTGCAGTTAAGTTTTGACTTTGTAACTTTCCAAGCAGCCGTGCAAAAACTGTCCAGAAACAAAAGGCTTGTTGGGCTTTAAAGAAGAAGAAGCAGACAAGAATGACGGACGTTGGGATAAAAATCGGTTTCAGGTAGTTGCAGAGATGATGCTTGACTGTTTTTTTGATGGCGTCCCGTCTAAAAATGGCGGCCATTTCCATGATTAGGAGCAGCGTCAGGTTACGGAGTCAGGCAAGTGGCATCATTATATTTGCAGGTGAAGGTAACTGTTTACCTCGTTTAATCAATCTAAAGTAAGCTTTCTACAAAATTACCCAATTTTCTGGATTATAATAAAGAAAATTATTTGAGCTTTTGTATAAAAGACCAAAAGATGTCAGAAAAGTCAGAGATTTTAATGCTGTAGATTTCATATCTAATGAAAAACTGTCAACTGAGGGATTGTGACTGATGCTGTAATGCTACTAAAGTTTACAAGATGAAATCAAAAGGCCTAATCATCAATTTCTGTTGTTAGTTATCTTAAAATAATGATTTTATACCACTGTTGTCTGTTTTCTGCTGCATTAGCCGATATGCAAATGGCTTTTTTTGGATTCTTCCTTTGCGTGTTTTGTTCCTCTGTGAGTTTTGTTTTGTTTTTTTCTGACGTTCCCAGACCTTCCCCTTGCTTTCTAACCTTCTCTCTTTGTTTCGATCCGTTCCTATATTCCTTCCCCTTCCCCCAGTTTTCCCACCTCTGTGCCGCATCGGGATCGGCTTGTCCCAGCAACCGGCCGTTGTCAGGGCTGCTGACCTCTGACCCCGTCACAGCTGCTCAGCCATCGCATGTCTTCTCAATCCTCTGGTCGCTGCTTGTTCCCGTGACCAGGAGGGTCACACATGGGAGCTGGCGCTGAATTAAACTAAATCACTTTCATTTGGTTCCCCTGGCCAGTTCTCCAAAAGAAGAGGAGAAATGATGGAAGAATAGATGAAGAAAAGAGCAGAAAACAAGAAAGAAGGAGACAAGAAAGAAACAAAAAGCAACACATGAATATGGAAAAAGTAAGGGAGATTTGATGGAGGACACAAAAGAATGAATAAATAAAAAATATAGAAAGAGAAAATTCAGAAAACTGAGGGAAAATAAAAAGAACAAGGATCAAAAACGAAGGAATTAATATTTGGAAATAAAGAGATGCAGGAAGATGTAATAAAGAAAAAGAAATGATTTGAACAAAACAATACATTTGTTCAATAATAAACTAAGTGCAAAAAGATAAAAACCACAGAAAAACAACGAACCAAACACTATATATTAAGTATATGATAAATTAACACAATAAAGACAAAAAGTGAAGGCAAATTAGCAGAAGTTTAAAAGTCATGTTAAAAGTCAGTTTGGGTCCTCAGTCAGCTGCTGGTCATGTTTGTTATTTTTCAGCAGTAAAATCACCCCCGTTTGAATTATTTTTTTCTTCCAGTTTGTTCCGCTTGGTGTTTTATTTCTAATCCAGATTAACTGTCCACGCCTCCATAATGTTACTTTTATGGGACCAAAAAAGTAAACCTCAGCCTCGGTTCGGTTGAAGTGAACTCTGGTGCGGTTTGAATGCGTATGTGAACGCCAAGCAGACCGGAAACCGCTCCAAAAGCAGGAAGTGGACTACAGCGCAGGGCATTCTGGGTAAAAACAGCCTGAGAAGAAAAATGGTCCATGGTATTTTACCAAAGACAAAAGAGTAATCTTACAACAGCTAAAATCTGACGCCACCCCATTTCTGTTTAAATTCCATGAAGAAGAAAGTAGACATCAGTGTCCTCTTCAGAGGTTTTCATGTCATTTCCTTCAGTGGCTCTTGGTGCAGCGCCCCCACAGGTGAGCAGGGGAACAGGTTTTCAAAGGGTTTGGTTCATTTGGCTGTCGTATGATGTCGCCCTGCACATATTGTCAGGTCGACAAGCTGAAGCGAAGCTGCTCTTCACATAAACAACAACAGCTGCGCAGAAGCTTTGCTTACTGAATATCTGAAGCAGCTAGCTTAACTGTGTTCTGGTTTAGGAAGAAAATAAAATGATGGTGCGAGTTAAGCTGGGTGTCCTGGTTCCAGGTGCTGTCCCCGGTGTAACCTGAGCTGAACTTTATTAATAAATAATGAAGCAGTCAGCTCATAAGTCAGACACAGACAGCGTTTTCTGCTTGCTGTCCTCCGGAGAACAGCATCCGACTTCCACAAACAGGCTTCTGGGACCAGAACACAACATTTCCAGAGACTCCCTGGCCTTCTCTCCACTCAGGATTTAGTTTCAGGATTGGTTTCTTTTTGAGTCTAATCGTGTGAAGAACCTCACCAATCATGAATCCTGAATAGTAAGTTTTCCTCTCTGAATGTGATGTGTGACTGGTAAAGTTAGGTGAAAACATTCAGGTCACATATAGACTGGAAGACAAGTCAGAAACTACAGATGTGGATTGTTAAAAATTGTTTTTAGCTGCTAATTTGGGCAGTTTTTAGGAGGCGCATATAGTTTACCATCATTTATGAATGCAGTTTAATTATTTTTATCTAAAGACAATGTGAGTTCATCCTTGGATCAGGACTAGTATTTTTGTCTAGTTTTTAGTGCAGATATCTTAGTAAATTTGAAATAAGATAAAAGTAATTTACAAATAACTTTTCAGTAAGTCATAGGAGCTTGTTTTAAGTCAATAATTCCTTAATATTGATGTAAAAGTACTGTTTCATTGGCAGATTATTTCTCTTACAAGACATTTTTCACACATCATAAGTTCTTCCAAACATGACGACTGCACTGCAAAAACACAAAATCTTACCAAGTGTGTTTGGTCTAGTTTCTAGTGCAAATATCTTAATACACTTGAAATATGACAAGTTAACTTACAAGTAACTTTTTAGCAAGATAAAGATAAAAAAGTACCAGTTCCACTGTAGTTTCACTTACAACTAGACATTTTCCATGCTATAAGTGAAATAATAATAACAGAAGAAAAAGGTGGAAAAAAACGAAGAGCTGTTAATGCTTTCTGGATGCTCTGTATTTCTGGGTATAAATTGTATCTATGTTATGGGAATTTGGTAAAAATAATTAAACTTTATATCGCACACCTATGTTTTAATGTTTTTAAATGCCTGTGTGTCTCTTCAGTGATTACCTGTTCAAGCTTCTCCTCATCGGTGACTCTGGAGTCGGAAAGTCGTGCCTGCTGCTGCGCTTTGCAGTAAGAACCATTATTCCTATGCCTAGTCCACAAACAGCTGGATATCTGAGAAAACATATACATTTCTATGCGTTTTGACCTTTCATCGACATGAAAACTCAGCTAAATATAACTAAAATTATTTATAAAAACTCCAACCTAAGTGTAGATTTGAGAAAACTCAGTATTTGTGTTTGAGTGGTCAGAGATTTAGGGTCTTGTGCATTACGTTCTGCAACAAATAATGTACAAATATGTCCACATACATGCTTTGACATGATTCCCAGTCGAGATTATTATAGGTTTTAATAACTCTATATTCTAATTTGCTATTATGAAGTAGTCCAACCAATATACCCGTCCTTCCACACGAACGTCCTGTCGCCATCTTTAATTCCTAACAGGAAGTCGCGGTTGTTTGGACGCAATCTGATTGGCGGACGTAGGTTGTAGCTTTGCGCCACACCGCCCCCTATAGGTTTGGTATATTTAAAACACCATTCATGATTGTATTTGTGCAGGTGTAAAGTGAATCAAAACTTTTCTGAAACCGAATCATTGTGTACATTTTCATTTTTTAAAAGATATGGTGGAGATATTCGGTTTTATAAAGATACGGCTATTATTCTATGATGCATAGAAAAAAGTACATTTCTGCCAAAAAAAAAAAAAGTCAGAAACTTTTTGAATTCTGATAATTTCCATATTTTTTTCTAGAAATTTTCTGAAATTGATCTCAAAATTTCAGAGTTTTTGGCAAAAATTTACAATTTTTTTTTCTGCAATTGCCCTAATAAGCTATTGATCATAGCTACGTATCACAAGGCCTTATTGACAGAAAAACAACTCTTCCACTTTAAACTTGGTGCAGGATGACACCTACACTGAGAGCTACATTTCCACCATTGGGGTTGACTTCAAAATCAGGACCATCGACATGGATGGGAAGACTGTGAAGCTGCAGATTGTGAGTTTATAACGTTCCAGCTGCTCTTTGTCTTTAAAAAGTTTATCTATTAAAACAAGCCTGCTAATGTTGTGTGTGAATGACTTCAGTGGGACACTGCAGGTCAAGAGAGGTTTCGAACAATCACCTCCAGCTACTACAGAGGAGCACACGGCATCATCATTGTTTACGATGTAACCGAACAGGTTAGTGAGTGTTTTTACGATGGTGTATTAGGGCCATTGAAGATAAAAAAAATAAAAAACTTTTGCCAAAGAAATTCACAGAAATTTCCTAGAAAAAAAAAAACAAAGAAATTTCTCAGTTTGAAAAATCAAAAAATTGCTGGAAAATACTCAGAAATGTTTTACTTAATTTCAGAAATTTTGTAAAAAAAATAAATAAATAAATAAATAAATAAATAAATAAATAAATAAATAAATAAATAAATAAATAAATAAATAAATAAAAACAGAAATTTAAGTTTGAAAAGTTGCAAATTTTCTTCAGAAAAGACAGATTAAAATTTTATATTTCTGAGTTTCAAAAGTCAAAAATTCTTAACTTTAGGATCACAATATTTCCATTTTTTTTAAAACAATTTCTAAGACTAACCTTAAAAAAACTCTTATTTAGATTTTTAGCAAGATTTTCAACTTTTCAAACTCAGAAATTTTGAAGTTTTTCTCTAGAAAATCTCTGTTTCAACACAAAAACAATTAGACTTTCAAAACTCAGAAAATTTCCGAAAGTCAAAAATGTTTTTAAACTCAGAAATTTCCAAGTTTTTTCTAGAAAGTTTTTTATATTAATCTAAATATTTAGGAGTTTTTCTTGCAAATTTTTGACTTTTCAAACAATTTTTTTTTCAGAAAAAAGATTTTTGACAGAAACGTACTCCTCATTTTCTGTCTACAATGGCCATAATATGACACCATTGAGGTTTTTTGTTTGTTTTTCAAAATATTCAGTGAAACAGGAATTTTTAATATTAACATTGAATCTGTGGATATTTCCTCAGGCGTCCTTCAACAATGTGAAGCAGTGGCTGGACGAAATAGATCGGTACGCCTGCGAGAACGTCTCCAGGCTGCTGGTGGGAAACAAATCGGACCTGGTCAGTAAGAAAGTGGTGGATGCTGCTACAGCTCAGGTAACAAGCAATGTTTCTGCTGTTTGTGTGTTTTCCATATGTCGTATTAAATCCGCAATGTCTGATTGTTACAAAGTGTTTGCAGTTAGAACGGTCATGTCACATTTCATCAGACTTTTTACGTCATTGATGTGAGACATGAGTCATAATTCTGCACCAGAAGGAGTCAGATGCAGTAAATCCAAACGTAAACAATCTCTGAAAATTATAATTATGAAAACAAAGAAGTATGAGGTTATGTATGCATAGTGGAGGACCTGTGATGCTGTGGGCCTGTTTCTCCTCCAAAAGTTCTGGAAACCTTGATCAAGTGAAGTGCATCATAAACTTTTTGAGATATCAGAACATTTCAAAAAGATAGTATTATATAAAATAGACTTTTTTTTCATGCTATAATGTAATTCCCTCATTAAAAATGTAGCTGGAGTGTTGGTTTTATTATTTCATGCACATTTAAGAAATCATTTAATCTCCATGGCAACCATTAATCTGTGCAAAACGCCTGGGGGGACATAGCTCCGCCTTCAAGAAGCTTGGAAATTGGATCTTCTCCTCATAGCTGCAATTTCCAAGCTTCTCAGCTCCTTCAGACTAGCCAGCAGCAATTAGCAAACACCTGGTGGAACTGTGCATCAGCTGAGCTCATTATAGGAGCTACCTCTAAGTGAAACGCTGGTGGAAAAAAAAAAAATTTAAAAATATACTAAAAGGTTGATAGAGGAGCCTCCTGAAGGAGGAGTTTCAGAAAGAGCAGGAGTTTCTTAAAGAGGCAGAGGCCCAATTTCAAGGCTTTAAATTATGAAGTCAAATTTCTTTGAAGTCATATTTAATATACACAGAATTTTTTATAACAACTGAAGGTAACCTGATTGTGCTATAAAATGGCAATATGTGCCTTGAAAATGCATATTACTGCCCCTGTAAGTCAAAATCTGGTGCTCAAGACCTTCTAGTTGGATAATAATACACATTTGCTGGTCAAATCAAAAGAAAAATATTTTCCCCGACATAAATCAACCTTCGTCCATTGACTTCTCAGCTGCCGTTCCTTGAACTATGAGGTGAGCTGGGAAAAAATGAGTCTATTCCTGCTTGAACAAACATATTTATACATGTAAAGGCTTTTAATTTAGATAATCTTTTATCTTATTATTGTCAGGAATGCCAATAAATGTGAATAGAGCTTAAAGATTTAAGACAAAACATAAATACTAATGTTATGGTGCTTGCTTATGGTGTGTTTTGGGGTTTTAAGTTGCTATTATCCTAAATTTGCAACATGTTTGTTCTTTTCCATGTCATTATCAGGATCTGGCCTCTTCTCTGAAGATCCCCTTTCTAGAAACCAGCGCCAAGTGTGCAGACAACGTGGAGAAGGCCTTCCTTACCATGGGTGCCGAGATCCACAAGCGGCTCGCCAGGGAGGGAGGCGGCATGCCGGGGGACTCCACACAGGCCAGAGGTCAGACCACTAAGATCAACAGCGCCCCCGTCTGGCTCGGTGGGGACAAACAGACACAGGAGGCCAATAACTGCTGCTGAGGATCAATTAGATTAACTAATTTCCAGATTGTACCAGATGCAATTGTTGTTATATTTTCTGTTAAAATCAACACCTGGAGCTGTTTGATTAGAAAATATGTTTTGAACATTATTTATTGTAACAAAATGGTATTAATAAAAGTAAAGATAAATAAACAATGACGCTTTAATTGTAATGATAATACCTGCAACAAGTTAAACTGAAAATCTATTGTAGAAAGCAATTACTAATAAAAATTAATGCTTTAAAAAATTGGAAAGTGATTGAAGTTTTTCAAGTTTTCTTTGGAGGGGGTAACATTTCGTTTTAAATCATTTTGTTTTAAAAAATATTTGTAACAAAATAATTTACTGAAAGCATTGATTATTTTGCTCTTTGTATGGGGGGTGATGTAAGTAAACAAGGATGTGTTATTTTTAATTGTAGCATCTGCAACAAGTTAAACTAAACATCTATCACAGAAAGCTACTAATAAAAATAATGTATTAAATAAATAGATACCATGGAACAGTAGCTTTTTATAATATTTCAACAAAACCCCACTTCAAAAATCATTTTTTCCTGACTCTTCAAGTAGTTGACACGCAGAAGTGATTCCATCTAGTGGAGACTTTTGGGAATAAACGCAGTTATTTGTGTACCTGCTGTTTGGCTTATTTTTGATTAAGTTGTAAAATTAATACATGAATCATTCCAGAAATGAAAAAAAAATTAGACTGGCTTCAACAAGCAAATACGTTGCTAACATACTTGCAACTAAAAAGAAAAGAGTGCCTAGATGCCTGGTTGTTGACGTTGTTTGTATATTTCTGTTGTGTTTGAAAAATTAAAGCAAGTTTTACCACCAACTCCTCAGCGGCCATGTCTTTTGTAATTGATTTATTTATTAAAGCGTAAAAAAAATAAAACTGCTCACATTTCACGCCAAATTCTATTTTATGCTTTGTTTTCGAGTCAACCTTGAAATGGCTGAAAACTACATTCCCCAGCGTTAACTTGAATAAAACGTCACCGGAAGTTTGTCTGTTTACAATAAAAGCATTTCCGCATCCTTCCTGGGTCCTTTCCTGTCTACTGCCTATTGGAAGATGGCGGTGCAAATCTCCAAGAAGAGGAAGGTTAGCGGCGTTTTATCCCCTTTCTACTCGCACAGGCAGCGGTATTTTGTTAAAATGGACCCAGACTGAGTGAAACAGACGTGTTTCCCACTGGTTCTGGTGTCATCCGGATCGGTCCAGCTCCGATACGGGGAGGATTGGTCCAGATGCTGCGGCGGTGCTGCGTCCTCATTTAGATAGCTAGCATGGCTCATTTCGCCGGGGCCGCAGTAAAGTTCTGAAATAACTCCCAGTTTCTGTTCCAAGATGTGTGTTCAGACAGCGTAATTGCATTTTAATACGTTTCTCTGACTTGTGTCAGGTCAGTTAGTCTAATGGCGGAATATTTAAAATACAAAAAGCTATTGGCGATTTAGTGAAACACCGTCGTCGTTACATTTTACAGAAAATGTCTGTCTGTATATACATACGCTACAGTTTGAAGTAAAGATACTAAGCTTATGCCAAATAGATACGAGAAATACATAGTTTACATTAAGCTTAATTTGTTTACCAAGCATAACTTGGGACTCTTGTGAGCAAAGCTGACTTGTGAAGCCTGTTATTGTGTGTTTATGGCTAATACTTGAAGATTAAAAACAATCAAATCCAACTGCTATTGTTTTAGTGTGCTTTTTAATATTTGTGCAGTGTTTTTACTCTTATTGTGTCAGATTGTTGGAATAAAATGTCTTACAATCCTGTGCTCCTAATATTGTAAATCATAAGTCATAATTACAATTAATAAAAATGGTAAAACCCAATAGTAAAAGTTTAGAGAGGATTTGTGAGGCTTATTTGCACCAAAGAAAATTAATAGGATTTCATAATTAAAGTTTGGTTCACAATCATGGAAAAGTGCAAATTAAGCCACTGACAGTTGCTTGAGTTCTTAAAAAATGATTCAGTGTTATTTGCTATAGATCAGTGATTTGTTGCAATAAAGAGTTTCAACTATTTAATAGCTGGTTTTTTGTGGGTGTTTTCTATTGAAATGATTCGTTTGTACACTGATCCCTTCTCTGTGATCACCATTAGATTTATGGTCTTAAAATGTAAGCTCTGCAGACAGTTTATCCTTTATAACTATCTGGCAGGCACACTTGCAGAATTTAATATTATACAGGATCCAATATTGTCTGATTTGATATAATTGTGTTTTTTTTTTTTTTTAAACTGCCTTTTTCTCTGTTAGTTCGTCGCAGACGGTATCTTCAAGGCCGAGCTGAACGAGTTCCTGACTCGTGAACTAGCTGAGGACGGCTACTCTGGCGTGGAGGTGCGCGTGACCCCAACCAGGACTGAGATCATCATCCTGGCCACAAGGTGATTAACTCTCCTTCAGCATATCTGTAACTCTTCCTTTGGTTTGCCGTCAGTTGTTGGGCCCGTCACCATTACCAATTTTACTGGACGATAAATTGTCCAATTAGTGTTTGTTATGAACGGCAATATTGTGTTTTGACCAATTTCAAATAGTTTATTGATAATGATGGTGGCTTAATATTCCCATGTTTTCCTTCATAAGGATTAATAAACTTTAATTTTGTACATAACACTCCACACTGCAACTAGAGGCACCTTAAATATCCAAAATGAAAAACAACCAAAAATAAATAAAAAGGAAAAAACACACAACTGAAATCATAAATAAAATGGATTATGACCTCTCTAAACAGAACTGCCTTTTAAAAAATATTAATAATCAGAATGGAGTTTATTTTAATCTGTAATGTGATTAATTGCTTGTTGTGACATGGCTATTTGTTGTTGCTTGTTGATACCTCCTTTTATAATCTACTGTACTAAGGTAGAGTGGAGAGATTACATAATTTCTCTTCGTGTGTCCAGGATTTGTTTGAGCAGATTATTTTAAAAATTCATGATATTCTTTGGTGTCATCAGAGATTACGACTCGCTTTGGATTTGTAGAGAGACCATTTAGTTAACCAAGCTGTACTCTTTTTGTTTGCAATTAACCTGCTGATAACCAAGAAGAAATCATCTAATTTTAATCACAATTGTTGTTTTTAACCTCCAAATACACATTTATTACAGCACTAATGATGCAGGTGTCCCAGTCCAGTAGAAAACTGTACCGGACCAAGAGGATGTTTGGTTACTTCTGTCTATGGCACATTTTGAAACATTTTCTTCTCTGTTTTCAGGACCCAGAATGTTCTGGGAGAAAAGGGCCGTCGGATCAGAGAGCTGACCGCTGTGGTCCAGAAGCGGTTCGGCTTCCCTGAGGGCAGCGTGGAGGTGAGCCGAGCAGAACGACCTTCGCTGAGGTCAGGGATGACTGAGTCCAGTCGTCCAGAACTTCTGTCCTGGATGCTCAGTCAAATGGTTTAATGTTCTGGCCCGGTACTGAGACAGTCAGTTGCAAAATGGCAGCTCTGGATTACTGGACTTGGATCATTTAAAACAGAAGAAGCATTATTAGGAATCAATCTCTACTATTTAGAAAGGATATTTGCATTTTTCTTAAAGGGGCGGTATCGTGTTAAATCAACTTTCCTGAGGTTTAGTCCCTCATCACAGACATAACTGAATTCTTCCTTTGAATTTTTTGATGCATGTTGGAGAAATCATTTAGACTCCATGGCAACCATTCAGCTGTGAAAAACGCCTTGGTGGACCTAGCCCCGCCTTCGAGGCGCAGCTCCTCCTCTTATGTAGTTTACAAGTTTCTGAGCTTCCACCTCACAGAGCAGTCCTCCACCGATATTCCCCCTCAGCTCCTTCAGACTAGCCAGCAGCAATTATCAAACACCTGGTGGAACTACTTCTCAAAAACCTGGTAAAAACGTTGTTAAACGTTTAATAGAGGAGCCAAACAGTGATGACTTCCTGAAGGAGGAGTTTCAGAAACAGCAGGAGGTTTTCCAGAGGCCCAAGTTCAAGGCGTTAAATTACAAAGTCAAATTTGTCATATTTGATATAACAGCTGAAGGAAACAGTTAATTGATGGTGCTGCAAAGTGGCACAATGTGCCTGAAAAACACATAGTCCTGCCCCTTTAAAGCATCTAAAGTTTTTCTAATCACTGATTCCCCTTCTGTGATGATTCGATGACGAGACGGAACAGGAGCCTCTCTGGTTCTGCAGGTTGCCGGTTCAGAACCACGTTCTGTGGTTCTGCTCCAGTTCCTCAGACCCAGGGTTCCTTTTCACGTGAAGACACTGAGGCATTTGTCTGAGAAGGGCAGAAATCAGTTTCACAACTAGGAGCTTATTTACATAAATCTGTGCCTTTAATTTAACTATTCCAACTGAGTGTAGACTTTTTAATTTATGTAGTTTACGTGTGATGTTTAACTACGTTTGAACTGTTTCTTTTTTCAGTTGTATGCTGAGAAAGTTGCCACCCGTGGTCTTTGTGCCATCGCCCAGGCTGAGTCTCTGCGCTACAAGCTGCTGGGAGGCCTGGCAGTGCGAAGGTAAGCAGAACACTGCGCTCCGAAAGCAGGAAGTGGATTACAGCACAGGGCATTCTGGGTTAAAACAACCAAAACAACCCAGAAATGATTTTGCAGAAGATGAAAGAGAAATCCTAAACCCGTTAAAATCTGACTCTACTCCGTCTTTAACATTTTCTGAGGAGGGAAGTTGAGCTCAGTGTCTTCAATAGAGGTTTTTGTTGTTTCCTTCAGTAGTTCAGGACTATCGGCTGTGAAAACATCGTCCAGGACGATGGAGGAGCTGATTAAAAATACTCATTTATCTGATTTTGAAACAGATGAACTCAGTTAGAACTGAGTTTTATATATTCCGACTCTGATTGGTTATAAAAACCGACAATTTGACGACTTTAAACGTGCCACTTTATGAGATGAACCCAGATGTCGGTTTACAGGAGACTTTTTACCAATGAACTGAACCTTGTAGTCGTTTTGTAGAACCCAGTTAACCTGGTTTTGGATCAGTTCAGGCTGTTCTGCTGAGCTTCAGGTTTTAATCCTCTAAACATTTTAATTGTTAAATGTTTGCTCAGCTTCGGTCCCTTCAGTGATGAGACGATGACGAGTCGGAACTGGTCTCTGTCTGGTTCTGGTGGCTGGTTCTGATCCACGTTCTGTGGTTCTGCTCTGGTCCAGCAGAACAGCGAGGCTTTTTCGGTTGAAGACATCGAGGCATTTGTCTGAGAAGGGTGTGAATATTATTTCAGTAATCAATTATTCTGACAGTTAATTGGATTAAAAAAATCTGACTGCAGATTTTTAGACATTAGAAATGCGTCAAAAAGACGAACATAAATAAATTACTATTGTTTTGTTGCCTGAAATGCAATAATGTATATATATGTTTTTGCACAGTTTTATTTACTGCTCTGAATATGTTGTTCTTTTAGAAAATGACCTTTTTTTGAGTCTACATAATCCAGTTCAAATATGTTTTACTAAATTAGTTGATGATCATTTCATTAATTGATTAATCCAATTGATAATTTGCTGGAGTTGTTAAATTAAAGCTAATACTTTTGTGTTGTTGCTAATTCAGTTAGCGGTTCAAACCTGGCTGCTCTTATTCCAAATTTGCAATGAAATTCCTGAAAATGATTCAGTTTTCATGCTTTTTCTGAGACCCAGTTGTTACAAACCAGATTTTTCCGTGGTTTATTTGCTTTCAGGGCTTGCTACGGCGTTCTGAGATTCATCATGGAGAGCGGCGCCAAGGGCTGCGAGGTCGTGGTCTCCGGGAAGCTGAGGGGTCAGAGGGCAAAGTCCATGAAGTTTGTGGACGGCCTGATGATCCACAGCGGAGACCCCGTCAACTATTACGTCGACACGGCGGTTCGCCATGTCCTGCTGAGGCAGGGTGAGTACCGGCACGTTTCCTGTCCCTCCAGGCTGATGAAACAAACCAGATGATTTCACTTTGGTGTTTTCAAGGTTTGGAAAGTGCTTGATTTCTGCAGAAGGTCCTTGAAAGTTGTTGGTATCCAAACTGCAAGCTTCACTAATTGATATTTTTATTGATGGTTTTGCATGCAAACATACTGGGGCGTAATAATGTTAACATGAAGTTAACATGTTAACCGTTAACTTCAAGATGTGTGTTTTCAGGAACAAAGAGCACGCAGATTTTTCTTCTGTAATTTTTTGTGAATATTCTCTTTAAACATTTAATTCGTGTTTTGTTCTCAGACCAGTCAGGTGTGTCAGCCATGTGAAAGAGACATTCCAAAACATAATTTGTTTTAATTTATCTTGTCACTGCTATAAAATGTAGAATACTATCACAAGACTTCATGAATAACAGTAAATGAGATATGATGGTGAATTGAAACTCTGCTTTCAGTTCATTTGTGGTGTTTTTAACTCCAAAGTGGTGCTGGAAAAGTTTCCTTGCCTTGAAACTGGTTGAATTTTACTGCAGTAAAAGTCAAAATGAGTTGTTGGTTTCAGTGAGACGAGCAAACCCTGAGTTGTTGTTTTTCTGTTCTGTAGGTGTGCTGGGCATCAAGGTGAAGATCATGCTGCCCTGGGACCCCAGCGGTAAGATTGGCCCCAAGAAGCCGCTGCCCGACCACGTCAGCATCGTGGAGCCCAAGGAGGAGAACCTGCCCACCACACCCACGTCGGAGCAGAAGGGGGCCAAGCCCGAGGTGCCCGTCATGCCCCAGGGAGTTGCTGTACCCACCGCATAAGAGGGTAAGAAGAGCCGGAGGATTCTTATGTGCAGTTTTAATTATTAAAGAATTTGATTTTCTTCATCGTTCAAGAAAAAAAAAACATGTGGGAGCTAAGGCTAGCTTTTAGTTTATGCAGAAATAATAAAAGCGTCCTGCATGATTTCTGGGTCCTGTCAGTGCCAGGTGACTGAAAAATGGCTCCCACTGTAGTAATATGGCAACATTTAATGATTTTACAGAGATGAGTTGATCAGGACTGCATTAACTGTATTTAATCTATTGACGATCTGGTAGAAAAAAGGCACATTCTGCAGAATTTTCATTTAACCACTTAAATGAAAATGCATTAAAAAATAAAATTAAAGGTAATTAAATTGCTTTTTAAAGAAGAAAAACGTTTTATTCTCTAAAATGCAGTAAAAGCATTTCTTTAGTCAGAACCAGGTGAAGCTAAAACTACACCACTTGAGGAGTTTTGGCTAAAACATAATTACAGAGATTTTTTTTATTATCTTGAATGTAAAATATATATGCATTTATAACCAAATTCTAAATTAGTTAACGGTTATTTTAATAATCGATTCATTGCATTTAATCGTTTGAGCCCTGAAGTAATCAGCTGAACTTGGGAAATTAAAGATGGTATTAAATGTCTCCACTAAGAGGAGCTAATAATAAAATGATGCATAAACAGAGATTTTCTTCTGTTTCAGACCTCTGGAGAAAATAAAAACATTTCTGAAAAGCTGAATTGACAAGCGGAAACACAAACGAATCCATAAATCTGTTTCAGACAGAAAAAGTCCAATCGGTAGTTCAAATTAAAACCGAGTTTTAAGAAAAATGTTTGTATTTTTCTTAGTATTTGTTTGTGTCCCTTCAATGATGAGACGATGACGAGTCGGAACTGGTCTCTGTCTGGTTCTGGTTGTGACCGGTTCAGTTTCACGTTCTGTGGTTCTGCTCCGGTCCATCAGACCAGTGAGGTTGTTTCAGTTGAAGACATCGAGGCATTTGTCTGAGAAGGGCTGAAAACGCACAAAAAATGGTCACCGTGTTGAAAATGTGCAAAATTGGAGACATTTCTGTACAAAACTGTAGAAAACTGAGAAGTTTAGAATTTACTGAACTGTTAATTATTTTATTAATGTAATATGTTAAGTGAAACTGGTTTTAATTTAGATTTTTTTTGCTTTTGCAGGTTTTTAACCGTTCTACTGGATGGATTGAAGACTCTGGCATTTTTGTGTACAAAACAATAAAATCTGGAAAATACACTTTTTGAGTTTTGGATTTTCTTTCTTTCAAAACTTTAGCATTTCAGTGGGGCTGAAAACGCATCAACATTATAAGCGTTACATATCAGCTGACATCAGTAATTGTTGAGTAGGTTTTTGTTTGTTTTAAATATGTGAAATGCTACCAAACTTGTGCCATTTGTCTGTTGATCCAGTTTTTTTTTCCTCTTTGTATTCCACGTCTTTTTATATTTGCTTTTTACACAAAAACATATCCACATTTACTACTGTTAAACGGCTATCACTGTTGAGACGAACATAACACTGACAGCTGGTTTAGAAAGAAAAAAAGCAAAGCCGATCATTTTAAGCAGTTATGACAGTCACGGTGGCAAAAAGTTCAACTGCTACAGCGTAAGTTACTCGACAGGCTGTTGCTAGGTAACCAAAGAACGAGTGAGTTGCTAGGTAACCAAACTAATACGGTTAAAAGCCTTAACTGTGCAAATGTCACCCAAAATGCTGTGCGGTTCAGGTTCAGTGAATATTCTGTTACCGCGATATACTCTTGATTTACTGTCTCGCCCTACTTCTCAGGTGTAAAATTAAAAAATATGAAAAGACTCGCACGTCCAGCTTCATCTGGTGCTGAAAATATGTTTAGATACAACTCGACATATATTAGTTAGTGGTAGGGATATAAAGAATAATATGAGGTGGTCTTTTGGTAAACCACTTCAGTAAAGCTGCTCTGCTCTGAAGAAGTTGATAAAAACAATAAAGAGCATGTGGGTGTGGCTGGAGGTAAATAGTTTGGCTAAAACAGCAAGACATTTGAGAGGAGAGTTGAGATGCTTCACTTGGTTTTAATTTGTTACATCGTTAAGTTGGTAAAATAGCTTCTGAACAAAATCAGTGGTGGTACCTGTGAACTTTTCTTGGTGGAGATTAATACATCTACACCCCATGGAACAGCTGATCAAGAATAATTAAGCAAGTAGTATTTTTAACATTACAGAATTGTAGATGTCATACTATGGACTGTAAATAAAAGCCAGATTACCTTGAGAGAACCAGGAATTAATTACAACATTGCTCCTCATATGCCGTTACAACTGCTCCTAGCGTTGAACTAAGAAATTGTTGTTGTGCAGTTCTATCAGGTATTTGCTAAATGCTGCTGCTGCTAGTTTGAAGGGCCTGAGTGGGGAAATCTTATTGCTGTTTAAATTTATGATGAACACTCGTAGTTTTCATTGTACATTTATAAATATAGGAATGAAAAATATACCTTTAAGTGACATTTTATTCTGAAGTGCATTAATTTGATCAGTTTGTGAAATATAGTGCTCCATATTTTAGTAATAGAAAATGTAGCTTTTAATTACAAATTAACACTAGTAAAAAATAAAAACTTAGTGTCCATTCAAGTGTAATTTTTGTGCATCTTGTCTGCTCCGTGTCTTTTTGTTATGTTAAATATTTATTTAGATTTATGAGTAAATCTTAGTAACCTAGTTGCTAAATGTTCATTTGTCTGCTGAGATACTCTTCAGACCGGTTTCTAAAAATGCAGCAGAGTGAGACATCTTCCCAGCGTTCCAAAGCTTATGGTTGGATCCGGGTTAGGCCACGCCCCCCAGCTGCTACCTGCTCCACTCCTCGGTCCCACCTGAACTTTCAGAGGACCAAGATGAGTCTACCGGACTACAAATCGACTGGTAAACAATCTTCATCTGCGCTATCGGTAAGAAATCTGACTCATCGCGTTGATTTGTTTCAGTGTTGTGTTGTGTTGTGCAGCTGAAAGCTGCGGGAAAGTTTCACCTGTCAGAGGAACAGGTGTCTGGAAGTTCAGGTCGGATCGCATATGGGTGTCAATATTTATATTAGTTTGTGCAAAGTGACGCGTTTGGGTGCAAATTTTACAGTATTTGTAGTGTAGATTACCAGTTATTGATAAATTTGTTTGGTGATTTACTGAGATGCCCTGATTGCTGGACCCACAGATAATATCTGACTTTGAGTTGGCGTTGTCTCGCGAAGTCAAATGAGAACAAGTTTGTCGACTTTTGTGAGGCTTTACTGCAATTCAAGCAAAGTTGAATAAATAAGCTACCAATAATACTCAAGTTAAACGACTTTTGTTGCTTAAATTGATCAAATGAACTTCTTAGAGTGGTTCATTTTCAGTCGATATAATCCTGCACTGAAGGCTGTTTCTTTGCAGATTTAAGTTTGACAGAGATCAATATAGTTGTGGCGCACTGACTACGCAGTCTTACAGATTTACAGAGCTAAAAGACAAATACCGTCTATGGGTTTTCCAAATCTGGTCTTTATGGTCTAAAATTATTAAACTGAAGAGCACAAAAACATTCAGAGTATTTCACTTTGTTATTATTGATTAAACTCGTTAAAGATCTGAAATAAGCATAAGAATGATTTGAACCACCGAGCTGTATGGAAAGCCACATGTGCCTCAATTTAAAAAGGATATTTACACAGGAAAATTTTAAGAACA